AATATTAAATGGAATGTTACCTTTTAAGACCTACTTGTGAAAGTATCTGGTATAGTCAACCCACCCATACCTGTACATGTACCTTCTGTCCATGTTAAATGTATATGTACTCCATGTAGTAAAGATAGACTCGAAAGAGATACGTTTACATTTCAATAACTGAATATACAGTGCGAAATATCTTTACATAAATAATAACAATTATTATTATAAATTTTGCTTATTATAATTAATAAATACTTCGACAAACAGAAAAAAACAGAAAAAAGTTGAATAAATGATAGTTGAATCAATTATAGAATTACTAATTCATAAGAATAAGGATATTGATGGATATTAAGAAATAAGGTGTGTATGTCAATTCTGGTAGAATGAGTACAAATGGTCTATTGTATGCGTGGGTGGATGGAAGTGAATTTGATAATGCATTATATAGTATAACCGATATATATGTAGTTAAGTTATTCCTATTAGTTTACAACAACGAAACACTTAGATTTGATACCTCAGTACGATTGCTTTACCTACACTTAGAATATGACTGTGCGATGTAAATTTATTTTCTGTCGTATATACATATGCGGCAGAAACCTGCTAGATATACACAGATCAAATCAAATATTAAAATATGTTCAGTAAATTGTAGGGGCCTTGGGGACCGAAATAAACGGTTAGATGTGTTCAATTTCTTGCGGAAGAAATCCTTTTCCATCTACTGTTTACAAGATACTCATAGTACATTATCTATGGAAAAATATATAGCAGCTGAATGGGGTTTTAAATGCTTTTTCAGTCATGGAACCTCTAATTCAAGAGGAGTTGCAATACTGGTTAACAATAATTTTGAATATAAAATTAAGGAGGTTGAGAAAGACACTAACGGAAATTTTATTGCTCTTAGTATGATAGTAGATGAAAAAGACATTTCACTCATAAATCTGTATGGTCCCAATAATGATTCACCTGAATTTTTCTTAAAAATACACGAGATAATAATGAATTTTGGAAATCAGGATCATATTATCTGTGGGGACTTTAACTTAGTATTAAACCAAGAGAAGGACACATATAACTATAAACATAAAAATAACCCCAAGGCCTCTAATCAACTTTATACCTTGATGGACTTACATAACTGGCACGACATATGGAGGGAAATGCATGAGGAAGTTAGACAGTATACATGGCGGCAGCCTACGCCTTTAAACAGGCAAGGTTAGATTATTTTATTGTTTCCACAACCATTACAAATTATATCGAAGATAGTCAGATTATTCCAGGTTATAAGAGCGACCACTCCATTATTACTTTGGACTTACAGTTAAAAAGGAAAATTAAACACGGAAAAGGTTTTTGGAAATTCAATAACTCCCACTTATATGAAAGTGAGTATGCCGACATGGTAAAGCAGATAATCAATGAAACTATCTTAGAGTATGCAGCAGCTCCCTATAATAGAGATAACATACTGAATATTGACAGACATTCTTTACAGTTAACTATAAGCGATGGGCTATTTCTTGAAACTCTCTTAATGAAAATTAGGGGGAAAACGATTGCTTTTGGTGCTAGGATAAAAAAGAAAAGAGAGTCAGAGGAAAAACAAGTGGAAAACACTATAAACGACCTAGAGAATGATCTTAAAAATGAGGCCGAATTAGACAAAAAAGAAGAAATTCTTGAAATGATAAATAAGGAAAAGATGAAACTGGAAAATATAAGAAAAATAAAAGTAAAAGGTATAATGATAAGATCAAAAGAAAGATGGATCGAATACGGAGAAAAACCATCAAAATACTTTTTAGCACTGGAAAATCGTAATTTTACAAATAAGTCAGTAACTAAACTGGTAATAGATAACGGAAATATTCTTACTGAACAAAATGAGATCCTCAAAGAAACTGCTCGCTTTTACGAAAATTTATTTAAGAAACAAAATCACGAATCAGTAGACATAAAAACTCGATTGGAAAATATTGAAACTCCAAAATTGACCGAAGCCGAAGCATCCTCGCTCGAAGGAAAGATAAACTACGCTGAACTCTATACAGTATTAAGACAAACGAAAAATGAAAAGAGCCCAGGTACCGATGGGTTTACTTACGAATTTTTCAAATTCTTTTGGAAAGAACTGAATATTTTTTTAATAAGATGTATAAACGAGGCATACGAAAAAGACAATTTACCTATAACTCTTACCCGGGGTATAATCGTCCTTCTACCNATTTAAAAATCTCGCTGGTTGAAATGCACGTGGGTTGGGCCAGATTTCATCGTTCATCAACACAGACCAAAGGTTTGCCAAGATGCGTGTCCCTTTGGGGATGACATATCCATTGATACTGGTGTCCTTCGTCGCTATGCGCAGCACGGCAAACGGCGAAATGTAATTACAGCGTTGTATCTCCATCAGGGTGGCGCCAAAGTAGGGGAGGTTCGGTTTGTCGGCAAGACTGGGGCGGCGGGTTTTACCTACGATTTTGTCCAGTTCTGCTTGAATCATGCCGCAGACTTCAGGGTGGGATAACAGATACAACATCCCCCATGTTAAGGCTGACGATGTCGTTTCAGCCCCTGCGAGATAAATTGACTGGCAGTTCGCAAGAAGGTCATCGGCATGCATTGGTACTTCCAGGTCGCCATCTTTGTGCTTTGTCTGGTGCAGAAAAGCATCGACCAAACTTCTCGTGGCGGTTGCATCATACCCCTTCTTGTGCTGATCCAGTAGCCGTTTGGAGTAGATTGCAAATCCGTGCCATGCGTCCTTCTCTTTGCGGCACTGCGGTAAAAACGAAAAGAACGGCAGAAAATTCTGAACCGAAACTTGAGAGTTGATTGCAAATGCCATGTTATACGAATCGATCAGCTTGTTGAAATCTGGGTCGTCGTAGTCCCTTCTGTTCCCAAACAATATGGTACCTATGATGTTTGAGGTCGTGGCGCTTATGAAAGTACGAAAGTCAAACGGTTCGCCATTTGTAGCTCGGATCCGCTGCAGCAGAGCGTCGATCTCATCCTTTATTTGTTCCTCGATATTAGCTTTTGCCAGGTACTTCAATATAAATTCTCGCTGTGCAATCTGGTTCTTTCCATAATCGGCGCATAATAAACCTGGAAAATATTTCACGAATATATTCATGGGTATGTGTATTACATAATGTCTGAGCAACGGAAAAAGTTATAAGTTATTTTTATAGTATCATCACGTGTAAAATGTACGTTGAAAATCACTATAGAAGTTAAAACGGTCTTCGCGTTGAAGCTTTATACATTTAATCTAGGTTTCTGCCAGTTGAATTCTTAGGTCGACCACTGTGGTTTACACGTTTAGGTGCTAGTAGCACACTAGTCACTATCACATCCACCCCCAACCTCTAGGCCTAGATACATGTATTAACGTACCTTTCCCATCGAGGAAATCAAAAGTCGGCATAGGCGGTCTACCTGACGTCAACGCCCCCTTTCTCTGAAACGCTTCCCGGATAGTCTCATAACCGCTTAATATAACGGTTGTTGTTGTTCCCATTTTGACGCTGAATACGCTACCATACTTTTTAGCCCAATTCATCAGGGTAACCTGAGGATGTTTTGCGAGAAAAGGTAGAACTCCAACCAATGGGAGCCCCCATGGACCTGGAGGGGGGCTTAGACTGTCGCCCTGCCTCGTGAGGCTAAGGAATAAAATTGCCAAGACTACGCACAATGTAAGAGGCGTATATTGAAGTGCCTCGTAGACCGCTGTGACATTGACTACGGCCATGTTAACCTTTCCTGACGCGTCGACTGCAAGGCGTATTTGACCTATAATGACAACTAAATTGTTACATTACGTCTTTCATTTTTTACAAGAGTGTCCTTTACTATGTAAAGCGATAAAGGGAGCGTGACCAGGCTACTTTCAGCAACACCCCGCATTAAGCACGCTAGCTCCGCCTGTGGAGACCGGGCATTTCAGCGTTAGTTTAAATTTAAGTTGAACATTATGGGAGCTGATGTGTCGGGTAAACACTCTGGTACATAGTTCTTCAATCTAGTAGAATTATTATATTATGTTTCTTTCCAAGGAAAACGCTCTTGCCCAGGGAAAAATCATAGCTCGCCA